GTGATATTTTGTAAAGTGCCTTACCTTGGCATTGAAATCCTTGTTTTCCAAACCCCCTGCAACAAAACACCCAAGTCTTAATCTTGATGGAAGCTCTTACAGACGCTGGGTATACACTGTTAAAATGAAAGATTAAACCAAACTTACCATATAAAATCTGTGCAGTGGCTGCAGAACGTCGGCTGCTTGAAAAATCTCGCAGTAAACTTGTGATTTTTCACTTCGTGCACGTTCTTCTGCCGCAGAGCACCTTTGCGGGCGAATCTGTTTCCGTACCCCGCAGAGTCATTGTAATGTAGAAGATGCTCAGCCATAATGATGTGGGGTAGTAGATATAAAATCCACAACTTTCCGGTCCGGACCKGCCGTGCGATGCTGCCTCCTGCTCGTCCTTCTCTTCTCTTCTGCTCCACAGCTGAGCGCTTTTTCATTCACCGTGACGTTCGATGAGTTCCGCTTTACGTACGTGGGATTAAACAAATTTTAAACCTGAAATCAAACGTTTCCTTAAATGTCAAACGCACAAAATCCTACTTTACCATCATATTAAACGTTTTTAAATGAAAAAGCTTTAAATTGATAACCAGCCTAAATATAAATAATGAATTAGAATGAATAATGTACAGCTAAAACAAAGTGGTCCCATGATGTGGCCTGAAACACGGTTGAGAAATAACTTCATAATTTTCTAACTCGCTAATTGTCACGTTCAGCGTCGCCAGAATTTGAATAAATAAAGCTGTTTTTCTGTCCAAACATTTAGAAATTGTGCTTCATAAGATTCAAGATATTCTATTTCTTTTTGCATATTACTAAAATTTAATATTGGCAACGTCCTTTATATTTTATATTTTGTATTGTTTTTCTCTACAACTGTCAAAACAAACTGAAAGTTGAAAATTACGAGGAGCTGTTGAAGGCGTCACTGCTGTCTTGTCTGAAGCTTCAAACAGGAGTTGAGCGCCCTCGTGTGGACAAAAAGTAAAACTGCATCCTTCCACAAGATTCATTCAGTGTGAAAATGTAAAATAAAACAAATGTAAAATAAATGACAAAAAAAACAAGGGAGACATGTTGAGGTTATTTATTCATATGAATGTGGATGAATATTTAACATATGAAGAAAGAATTAAAGTCCTATCAGATTCACCTGGTAGAGCACTAGGTGCAGTTACAAATAAAGTTAAACATTGTGGTGACAAGGGTTATAAGACAAATACTGAGTTGTGCAGATCTTGTGTTTTCCCAGTATTAGATTACGGAGCGGGAGTCTGTCTCTGTCAACAGCTTTATAGTGAGAAAGTTCGGTACTGAGCCCTGCGTCATTTCTTAGGTGTACAAAGAAATACATCTAAATAGGCCCTACATGGAGATGAGATGGGACCTATGTGAAGTTAGACATATTGGAGAAATGGTGAGATTGTCGAACAGGTTTATTAATATTTCAGATTATAGATTAACAAAACACATTTTTTCTTTTAGATTTGTCAAATAGGTATACTTCGGTCAGACAAATTGAGAAGATATTTGATGAGGCGGATATTCAGTATGTTTGTAGAAATAAGTTAAGATGTAAAATTGAACAGTTTAAATAGTTTTATTTTGAAGTTCATAAATGGGTAGTTGATATTTTTCGGAAACCTAAATTACGAACCTATAATCAAATGAAGGACGTTTATGTTCCTAAGCCATTTGTAATATGGAACCTATCTKAACATCAAAGATCTGTCTGTGCACAATTTAGGTCTGGCACTTTGCCTCCGGCTCTAGAAAGTGGACGATTTTGTTCAGTTCCAGAGGAGGATTGTATKCATTCTTTGMGTGAAATTGAAAACGAAATACACTTTTTGTTTTATTGTCCTTTATATATTATTTTGATAAATGCACTATATGATAAAGTTCTTGGTGTTTATCCAGAATTGTTTTATTTAATTGATGAAGACAAAGTGCAGTTTTTATTGAAGTATTTTGTGTTTCAGTTAGCTCAATTTATTTTAAAGGCCTGGTACCTCTCGAAGAGGACATCTTTTGTTTGAAGAATGTTTGTCTGTCTGCTTGTGTGTAAATGTTTTGATGTGTCTTGTAAGCCCATGTGGGCTGGGCACAATGGTGCCTGACATATGTGACAAAAAAATTACTTGACTTGACACATATATTTTTCTACAAAACATAATTTTACCTGTCTTTATGTGTCCAAATATTTTCATCATAAATTAATTGAGCTTATTGACAGCTTTGATGCTCTTCTTCCTGTAAAAAAAAAAAACACCACAGTCACTTTCA